CTAGGGGAAGAACCAATGTTAGCAGGGATGTGTCCTATATTTGGCAGCTTGAGTAACCAGTCTTCTCAGATGATAAGGGCAGTGATATGTTCTGGCCTTCCAAGCTTGACTGGATGACACTTCTAGCTTTGATTTACTTTCATTTTCATTTATTTGGGAAGATTTTATTCTGCTGATGGGGAAACTGCCCAGGGTTAGCTTGGGTGATATGGGGGTACTTTTTCTCCTGATTTTTTTTTTAAATGGGTTCTTGTGCTATAGGAAACACGTTCCCCATCCCTGTCTGAATCAAACAGCCACATTTAATCACATTGGTGGCTAAGGGGAATACAGCCAAGAAAGGAGATTGAAAACAGCTACATGTATTGTAGACATTTAGCTTTAAGTAAATGTTAAAAGTAAGACATTTAGCTTTGATCCCAATTTTTTAAACCTAGGCCTATTCCATCTTCCATTCTTCCCATTTTGAAATCCAAAACAGTCTAGAAAACGTAAAGGTAAAACCCATAATTCATTCCTGACCATTTTGACACTGCAAAAAGCAATGCAAGATAATAACAGCACAGGGGAACACGAGGGTCTGAATGCATTAGCACTAACAGATTGCAAAAAGATATTTGGCACCATCAGCACAGTACTAAAAGGCACTTGTAGAACAAGAAATTGAATCACATTATGGAGAGGAAATCTAACCATGCATGACAAGGCATGAAAAGTTAAACATGGTTTCCCATGAGTAATAATAAAATACAAAAGGGTGTATTATTTTCCTGGCTACTCATTGGTCAACATTGCATTAAGGAAGTGACTTCATAATATTTGCTCACTACAGAAACAGAAGAAAGAGACATTCATTTAATTTAAGGAGACAAGGTTGCTTAGGGAATAGTCCTTTACTTAAGAATGACACAGAGACGAGACAAGGAAGGAAACAGTTTTCAACTAAAAAGATCCTTAGCAAAACATTTTGTTTAAATTTAATTGAAAAATTAATTTGCACTGAGTTGATGTTAATGAGATAGGTCAAGCGACCTATACACAAGTCTGTGTGTGTTTGTTTCCTTGCAGATAATGATAATTACTGTGATCAAGGTATTGCACTCAGAAAACCATTATTGTTTTGGAGCTTATGTTCAGATCAGCCTGAAAGACTGAAATGTTAACTTTTTTGGACTGCAGGTTCAAAAATCCCACACTCATTTTCCCTGGACTGAGAAAAAATTCAAGAATTTATTGAATAACTTTGATGCACTCTTATCTTATTAGATCTGGACCATTCAGTAACATAAACCCTCAATAAAAGCAGTGTAGAACTCTGTCGTGTTGAACTTGCATCTCAAATATCAATATGGCTGACAATCTGATACTAGATTCATTTCTAGCATCAATAAGCTTTCACTATAAGAGTAGTAAAACACTGTTTGGAATTGACTATTTGCAAACTGCTTACAGACAATTGCTTACTTGCAATCATGTGCTCTCCTCAACAACAGAGGTATAACTATATAACGTCATCCCCATAACTTAACACAGGATAACATTACACTTTTTGTGATATTACTCAATACTTCTCAAGCTATCTGATCTGGGGAACCAGCAGGCTTTCCCCTCCATGTACCAAAAACTGGCACCTTATTTGTGCCCATTGGCTAAAACTGTCTCCCTTTTCCTTAAAACTTGCTGCAGACTTCCAGCTAAAGGTTTGTGGGCAAACACTAATTCGCAAGCTACTGCTTTTGAGCAGCAGTGGCATAACTATAACTTTCAATTACTTTTACAATTATGATATATCTATAACTTTCAATTACTTTTACAATTATGAGAGTGTGGCTTCAGTAAACAGTGGATAAAGAATATCACATAGATACAGACTTGGTTCATACACGTTGCTGAGGTGACACTTAACTGGAATGAAGAGGCATTTTTAATAGCAGAGGCCAGTGGCATATACTAGCATTAAGATAGGATAAAATAACAGCAACCTAGAACATAACTATTCTAGTTAATTTGAGAAACAAGAAATTAAGAGTTAGTGTCATGTGCTAGGGCTCTCTCAGTGTCGAGGGCGGAAGTTTGTCAAAGAAACACAAGGTGAGCCAAGATCACATTTACTTGAATGGAAAACTAAAGGTCTGGCTAGCAAAACAGACAGCACACAGCTGGAGTAACACAAATCAAGGTCAAGAGTCCAATTAATGCAGAAACTATTACAAAGCAAGAACAAACAGTAGCCGAGTTTGCAGTCCAAAAGTCAGATGCCAAGAGTTCACTCATCAGAGTTACTAAAGCAAATCCAAAGGTACAAATCGAAATTCAAGTCCATAAATCAAGCCAGAAAGTAAATCCAGAGTTCAGATTCAAGGTTTCAGGATAAAAGAGCTAAAACAGGGTTACAACAAAAGAAGAGTACAAAACAGGATTATAGGAACAAGGTTAGGGTCTAGAATTCTAACCCAGGGTGTAACATTGCCAAAGTCCAGGACAAGAGTGCCAAAGTACAACATTATCTGCTACTGAGGACCTATCTCTTCCAGACCCCTTTTAATCTAGAGATTCTCATTGCTGCTCAATTCAGCAAGCCTTAACAGATAATCCCCCAAAGACTGTGAAGCTTTTCTCAGGGATGAGGTCAGTTAAACCTCTTCCAGCCCCAGAAGCACCCAAGCCAGGCCAGACAAACCGCTGGCTATGACAGTAATCTAAAAACAAAAGCATTAATTACATTGAGAAAATATCTTAAACCTTGGAACTGGTAAATGTTATTAAAGTAAGTTTTTAAAAGTTTCACAGCCACTGAGGGCCCATCTACACAGCACCTAAAACACGGGATTTCCTGAGTTAAGGGGCAGGGCTATATAACAAAGAACAAAAAAGTATGTATGTAAATCTTAGCAGACTCTCAAGACAGTAATATACAACAGTATTCTATGTTCTCTATTGGCATAACTTGTCCTATATTTCTATGTATATATAATAATAATAATAATAATAATAATAATAATAATAATAATAATAGGTGACAGCAGAATTTATGAGAAGCAACTGGAAAAGCTTACACAATATGAGGATTTAAAGATAAAACTGCAAAGAATCTGGCACAAGCTAGAGGTGGTCCCAGTGGTGATTGGCACACTGGGTATAGTGCCTAAAGACCTTGGCCTGCACTTAAAAACAATCAGTGCTGACAAAATTACCATCTGTCAGCTGCAAAAGGCCACCCAACTCAGATCTGCATGCATTATTCGCCGATACATCACACAGTCCTAGACACTTGGGAAGTATCTGTCATGTGATCAAATACAAAAGCCAGCATAGCAATTTTGTTTGCTGTGTGCTAATATTGTTATGTATCAAATAATAATAATAATAATAATAATAATAATAATACGGCTCTAAATTCAAAATTTGAAAAGGTTATTCTTTTAGAAAATGTCAGGTAAATGAAATGTTCCAGAAGCTGCAGTTCAAAACATTTCACCCCCCCGCCCCAAAATGTTCCATCATAAAAGCACATCTTGTTTTTCTTTCAAAAGCAGAACAATAAGAAAAAGATCACAAAGATACTGCTTCTTGCATTTTTATCCTACCCAGTAGTTAAATGATTTGACAGTTATTCAGTCAGTTCACAAAATTTTAATGCATTAGTTCTGTAAATGCAGTGAAATACAATGTAAAATCTAACAAAAAATCATAAAGGCTCAGAACAAAACCAATGAAAAGCTCCAACAGTATCAGAAAGATTTTGGGACTTCAAGGATCTCAAAAACACACGTTTCACAACCGAAACAAATAAAAAGGTTAGGATAAAAAGATATTCTCAGGAGCTGGTATGCATGTATGTATGTGTGAATGTTTGTAACCTTTGAAAACAAACTTAAAGGAGGGACTGAAAATAACATTATCTCCCACTGAGGGTCATGCTGAACCATTATATGGGCTATCTTTCATTTCAACAGTTAAAGTAAACACCAATATTACCAGTTTGGCTTGTCAGCAGTATTTCAGATAGCATTTGGTTCTGGTTGTCCTAACCTTTTCATACATAGTATTCCAAGTCTTAACTGTAAGCATCTTCACTGCTTTGGTGTCAGCCGTGTATTAGATATTTGTAATCTGCTGATTGCTCTGTTTCCTGATGCTTTCCAAGCATCCACAGGTAACGCTCCATCTGTCAACAATTCTGAGCCGCAGATTTTTAAATGAATATCCGCTCATCCCTATCTTGAATTTTTGCTGGTGCTGGAATGAACATGACCCAAAAAGCTGTCTGGGTCATTAATTGTTCTGTCCATCTAAGCAGAACATGGACGCTACTGAAACACAGCTTTTCTGATGTTTTCTACCCACGTAGTTTTGCTGAAAGTGCTACATCTTCATGTGCTTTCAGATAAGTCTTCTACTGCGCAAAATGTACCCCTGTTCAATGAATTTTATTGGGAAGGGGTTCAGAAGATGACAGCTTCACCTTGTAACAGTGTCATGCCCTCGCCACTTCTCCTTTTATTTCTTGACACCCAAAGACAGAGAGAAAAAATGGAATAGCTACACAATATCTTTTCAGTTAGGCTCCTAGTGAAAGTGCATTGGGAAACTTACACTGTTTTCCAATTTTTCTTGTTAAAACTGCAAATGGACTATCATTTCTTTAGATTAAATGGTAAGATCGATAAACAGATGTGACAATGCAATTTAACTTTTCCTCTCCCCCGTAAAAATGGGGCAAAAGCGCTTTCCACTAAGTTTAAACCTGCAATTATCCCACTAAACCATTGACAAAACTTCACAGTAATGGTGTGAAAATGCTATTTTATATCTACACGTTTTGTGCCCTTCTTCAGAAGTTGCTAAAACTGCAAAGTTCCTATTTAGCACGCTGTGAAATATCTGTTATAAGTCTTGAACTTTAATTAATGGAACTAAAAATGTGTTGAAATGGTGTGAAATGTTCTTGAATCTCAGAGCAATCTCACTGATTTTTCCAGAGAGGTTTATAGACTGACCTGTTTGATGCAGGTGATCTCTTGCTAGTTCAAACAAACGCAAGTGCATATTTGTTATGGGATTAAAGGAGCCACAGGCAAGAAGGGTGAGGGGTGTCAGATGCTTCATTTAGGCCAGAAATCTTTAGCAGCAACACCTTAATGGAAAAACAGCAACAATTAAAACAGTCTTATCTTGCTAACAGAGTCCTAAAATTTTTCTCATAACAACAAAACTCTGAAACACCAAAGAGTCCATTATTAGAACAATGTGACAAGCCAGCAGATTGCATATTGACTTTTCCCAATTTGAGACCAGCCAAATATTTTAGGCTAGCATTCTCATCAGCCACAACCACTGTAGGCAATTAAATCATTGTTTTTAAGTGGTCTATTGTTTAATGGTGATTGTAGTTTTGTCAGAATTGTGGAATTATTGATTTGGAAGGGGACCATCAGGTCCAACTCCTGCTTAATGTAGGATCTTCACCAACAGCATCCCCAGTAGGTAGCTGTCCATTGGTCCATTATTAAATTGTGCCCATATGTGGTGTCAATACATTTCTACTACTGTTTGGTAGAAATCTACCCACCTGTAACTTAAAACTATTAGACCTAGTACTGCCCTCTGAAACAGCAGAAAACAAGGCTGAACCCTTCTCTTTCTGAGAGCCCTTAAGGCAGGAGTGTCAAACACATTGTCTCCAAGTGTCATGGCAGCCTTATGGTTGCCTTCAAAGGGCCTTTTGTAATTGTAAGACTATAAATATAAGTATGTTGCCCTGGCACTGAAAACCTCACGGGCCATGTAGAATGATGTGGTGGGCCGGCTCTGGCTTGTAGGCCTTGCACTTGACATATGTGCCTTAAGGTATTTGAAGACTGCAGACATGTCACCCCCTTAATATTTTTATACATACCTTGAGTCATCAGGTGGGTTATTATTATTGTTATTGTTGTTGTTATTATTATTAATATTGCTATATCTCTTTTTCACCAACTTGAACGACTTTGGAACTCCCTGCCATTAGAGATCAGAACTGCCCCCTCCCTCATGACGTTCAGGAAACTAACAAAGACCTGGTTGTGGAACGCGGCATTTGACAACTGATTTAATTCTTTGCCCACATGAAAGGAGGATGATGAATGGGATTGTGATGGTGTCGGACGAGTTGGCTCTTTTAACTGTGATGATAATGTTTTAACGTGTATAGTGCTGATATTTTAACCGTGTAATGAAGTGGCATTGTGTTGTTATTGTATATTTTTTGTATGTTAACACATGTTGTGAACCGGTCCGAATCCCTCTTTGAAGGTGAGAGGGTCGGTATATAAAACCTCGAAATAAAATAAATAAATAAACATACCCAGTTCCTTCATCCTCCCCCCATGTTTTGTTTTCCATGCCTCTTGCCCTTCTCTGAACTCACCCCTATTTGTTTATATCCTTCTTAATTTGAGGTGCCTAGAACTGAACACAGTATTTTGAATGAAGCCTGATGATTAATTCCCTTGAATTGAAAACTATGCTTTGATTAAAGCAGGCTAAGATAGCATTTGCTGCAGCCCCACTGCCAGCTCCTATTCAATTTATGATCTACAGATGTGGGGGGTGACTGCTGAGTGAAGTACCCCACACCCCTCCATCCCATACCTGTGCATATGGGCTCTGTGGTCTCAATGTCTCTGTTAAATTTTATATTATTTTCATCTCAGTTGGCTAGTTTATCAAGCTCCATTTAAATTGTGTTCCTTTCTTCCAATGTATCAACCACCCCTTCCAGCTTTGTAAAATCTGCAAATTTGGTAAGAACTCCTCCCACCTCATAAGCTATATAATCAATCAAAATATTGAAGAATGTTGACCCCAGGAGAAAACCTGTCATTCCAGATGTCATTCTAATTTGAAGCATTACCAGTAATGACAACTCTTGGAGCAGAGTTTTCCAATGAATTATGGATCCATCTGATTGGGTTTCCATCTATTACATATTTAGTCATAGTCCAGGTTTTATCTATATATTAACAAATGATTTTTACACTTTAATGTGTAAGCTGCCTTAGTTCCCCTATGGCAAAAATTGGGATAAAAATTAAATCACTTAAATACAAAAAAAAATTGTTAATGCTGAAATGTAGACTTTATTAAAATGAAAAAACAGAGTTTGATTTTTTAAAGGTCATAGAGACACAACTACATATAATTCACTTATTCCTGAACTGTGCAACCTACTACAGTTCCATAGGATCCTCAAGATGACTCACAACAGAGGACATCACAAAGTCAAATATTCTGTGTACAAGTAGCTTAGCAAAAAGAATTCCGTCATTCAGAAATACATTTTCTGTCTCCTTCTCCATCCCAATTCAGTATACTTATCCTGTGCATCAAGACACGGCTTCTCTATCTGTTGCTATTCCATTACTAATGGGAATGTTTGCTGTTCTAATGACAGTTCAACTCTTACTAGTATGGCTCTCTCCTGTCGGCCCTCAGAGAGTGAGCTCAAAAGACAAGAGCAGCAGTTATGTAGGGTTAGTGGCTATTAATTCCAACCCAGAGCAAGTTAGTGACTCAGAAAAGAGCAGATGGCCAAAACCAAACAAAACACTCCCCACAAGTCTTTTAAAAACAGTCAAGGAGTCAAAGGTAGAATAATAGAATACTAGAGTTGGAAGAGACCTCATGGGCCGTCCAGTCCAACCCCCCGCCAAGAAGCAGGAAAACTGCATTCAAAGCATCCCTGACAGAAGGCCATCCAGCCTCTGTTTAAAAGCCTCCAAAGAAGGAGCCTCCACCACACTCTGGGGCAGAGAGTTCCACTGCCGAACAGCTCTCACAGTCAGGAAGTTCTTCCTAATGTTCAGATGGAATCTCCTTTCTTGTAGTTTGAAGCCATTGTTCTGCATTCTAGTCTCCAGGGCAGCAGAAAACAAGATGACCCTAAAACCAGGGCTTACCTTCTACTGTCTACTCAGAAGCCTGGGGGTTTGCAGTTTTGTGAGGCACTAGAGCTCTTTGGTTGGGGATTCTATCTACTCTTCCCTAAACTGCAAATCCCAGGATTCCATAGGATGTTGCCACAACAGTTAAAGTGGAATCATAATGCTATCGCTACGTGGTATAGATACGCCCTCTCTTCCATTTCTTTCTGTTGTTCATGCCCCTCTCCAAAGTGGTCAGTACTTCAAGTCCTTAAGCATACTTACTCCAAGTCTTTTTGGGTTCCCCTGCCCTAGATATGCACCTATTTAAGCCTAGACATTTTACTCAAAAAATCACACACACCCAAAATGGATCGACTATCCACAGGTTGGGGTGAGTACTGTATCTTAATTCTTCTCAAAACAAGAATGATCCCTTTCTTTGAGTAGAGTGGCAAAAGGCAAGATCTTAGACTGTCCAGGAAAACATGAAAGAAACACTGACCCCTTTACTCTCTCTGTTGTGAATAAGCACAAATAGATATGCCTGCTGGAATTTTCTTAAGTTCTTTGGCTTCCTTTGCTTCTTGCATTACGTTTTTCTTACATGCCCTATTTTTTACTCTCGGCTTAGCTATAGGACGTATCAAAATCTACAATTTGCCCACCAAATATGCTTCAACTTATACATGCATTTGACTTATGCATGAATATATACAGTGGTTTTTTTATTTCTAAAGATTTTTTTTGTAATACTTATGCAAGCCTTGAGGCTTACTCATCACTCTTTCTTATATGTGTGGTGCCATTTTTGCTTCATAAATAATGGAGCATACTCAGTGTAAAGATCAAAAATAGAAAGAATGATGGGTTGGAAAGAAATACATACTGTTTCTGTCTGTATACATGGAGATATTGTGCATATTACAAAGAAGACATTCATAGAATTATGGAATTGGGAGGGATCATAAGGGCCATCCAGTCCAACCTCACTATGCAGAAAAAGCACAATCAAAGCACCCCCAACAGAAGGCCACCCAAGCCTCTGTTTAAAAGCCTCCAAAGAAGGAGCCTCAACCACCTTGAGCAAGTCACAATCTCTCAGCCTCAGAGGCAATAGAAAAGACAAACATATATTGCTATGGGTTGTCTCAGGGCTGCCATAAGTTGGACCCAACAACAAAAATTGCAAAGAATTCAAGTGCTTTCTTTTTAATGCAGTTGATTTCATAGAATGGCCAAATTGCATCTTATTCTCACTGAGAAAATTCTGGTACAAAGTTGTAAACTAATGAAATCCTAATTAAGAATACATGATTCGGTGAAGCTGCAGCTTTTACTGCAGCATCTGTAACAACAAACATTGTGAATTAAGGATCATTAGGAAAGGTCCTGGGAACAACTTCACTTGCTTTAAAATAAGAGAAGCATTAATCAAGTTAGCAACACCCTGCTAAGATGAAAATAGGAGTCAAAAGTCAATTTACACCTTTTTGTTTTTATTTTAAATTCACACATCCCAGAATAAAATCTGCAAACACTTCAGTCTCTCTCTCTCTCTCAAAAAGAGCTCACTGAATTTGTTCCCAAACAATTGCCTCGATTATGCAGGAAAGGTACTAATAACTCTAATGAAAACGTGCAACAGCATAATAAGCGGGTCACAGAATATTTCTTCCACAGATTTGTTGAGAGGTTGACATTAGGGTTGCAAAGTGTCCCTGACTGGGAGGGATGTCCTTTATTTAAAGGTTAGATATCTACTTATGTATGAGCAGCCAACAGGATACTCCATATTTCTAGGTACTAGTTGAGCACTCTGCCCTCAAATTACACACTAAAAGTGAGTGTATGACAGGGAAGTTTGCTGTGGGTTTGGCTGTTGCCCAATGTGAAGGAGCCTTTTTGCACTTCTGACCAAGCAGCACATCCAACTCAGTGGCAGTAAGATATATTTCCTTTTGTGATGGCTGTTAGCTTACCATCATTTTCTTAGAGGTTTGGCATTTATATTAGATTTCAGAACTTGCAAGCACATAGAACTTTCATGAGAGGGTCTCCTCATGAAATTTGGCACAGACTTTATATAGGCTGTCTTGCATGTCGCAAACTAAATGACTAACCCTTCTTGATATCTTCAAACCTTACAACCTATGTTGCTGTAGTTCTCTTTAAAACAATATGTATGTTTCTGTTATCCCAAATACATTTTCTGCAGTTCCTTACACATGAT